TGTTTCAAAAGAGGTTAATTTGGTGTTAATRACTCCACAGTCCCTTACATTTGGTGAATGACATTCACTTTTCTGGTCRTGGTTTGTCAGTAGTCATGTGTCATTTATCATTATTTGTATGAATGAGCTGAGACTCCTTTCCATCACTTTTTACTCTCATCCCATGCTTCACGAAACCAGAGTAATGAAAAATCAAATCTAAAAGTACTGAGAAGTTTTTAGCAAAGCATCAAACTATAAAGAGAAATATTGTCCTTACAGCTACGTTTGCTGTAAGCTGAATCAGATCACCTKTTGCTGTGCTTTGACTGACTCAGATTTAAACAACTTCATGTTATTCTAAGTCCCTTGTTGTTGGAAAACACATTTTTAACTTGGATATGAAAAATAATTTACTCCACCAATGCACTCAGAAAGGAGAAGAGCTACAGGTGCCTGAGTAACTCTCCAGAAAAAGTATRGAGTGGCCAACCCTGTCCTGTCTCTTTGAGACAAAATCATGTATTTGAAAAGAAAAGTTAATGAGTAGTGTGGCTGGCAGGCTGGCTGCCTACCAAGCTGTCTGGAGGCAAGCAGGACCTCCCAGGTGTTTCACAAGGTTCTTGGATGCGTGGATGTGCTCAGTGGTCCGTGTGAGGCTGCAAACACACTGTAACACAATACTCGGCTCTTGAAGGGTAAATGAAGTGAGAAAACACAATGGGTAAACCCTTTTCAATGACAGAGCTGCCACTGACTTAGGCAGACACTTTTTTTTTTTTAATGAGTGTGCTTGACCACAGGTCATAAACAGGATCAGAAAAATGCTCCTGGGTTCTTGCAGGACACCAACCTGCTCCTATTGTGTGCCAGGCACAAAATTATTCTTTGCATATCCCTTATGTGCTGCCCCTAACCAGAGCAAAGAAAGAGGGATTTGCTGGTACTATCTTTGTCAAGCTTATCTATCATGGCATTGCTCTTATTATGTTCTTTGAACAAGGACTTGACTTTAGAAAAGGGAGGTGTTCTCATCTCTGTGTACATGTGGAAATACAGATTTTTGAAAGCTGTTCTCTGAAAAACATGAAATACCCAACTCAAGGCTGGCTGCAATTTTAGTCTTTTTCCGCCCCATTTTCTTTCTTTAAAAAAAAATAAAAGATATCTTTCTTTTTTTTTTTCTTAATTCTAAAATTACTGGTTTACCCCCTCTGCTCCAGAATGCCACAGGATGGATTTGTTTAATCCTTTGTCTGAGTTTCTAAATTACATGTGGGACATGATGCCACATGCTTTCTTTTAAGCTACTAATTTGTTTTTGCCCTGTTCTCCCCTTCTGGATGTATCACCTGCTTTRTGTGGCTGCTGAATACTTTGTCACTTGGTTTCTGGCTAATCAGATTTKATGAAGGGCTTTGTCTCTCTTGTGCTGGAAGATTTGGCTCAGACTTCCAAAGCAATTGCACAGGTTATTTGGAGGGTTTATTTTCTTTCCAACAGAGATAATCTTTATCGCATTAGATTTTGCCAACTTTGTCCTTTACAACAAGCAGCATAAAATTAAACCAATACGACTTTKAAAAAACTGGTTTAGATGTTGTGCTTAACTGTTTTAGATTCTTGTGTTGATTCAAAAGCTATTTATTTATAAATAATTTAAAGATAAATATTCATGGWATATCTAATTTTTTTTAGTTGAACCTGTGATTTAAAGCTTACTATATTRAGCCTGGCAGTCATTACATTATACKAATSCTGTAAAGCTAAARATATAATACCAGGGAACAGACAGGTGGAATAAATGTGCTGTGTGAATTCTACAGAYACCTATTACTCTCTCTTTAGCAAACATGATGATAAAGCTGATCTTAATTGTAACCAAGCCATCTATAAGAACTAATGGCTGGAAGTTAAAGCGATACAAATTCCATTTAGGAGTGTGATGTCCTGAAGGGTGTGTAGGTGAAGGATCACTCAATTGCTGCCTCCATCTTTCACTGTTTCCCTCAACAGTGGCTGCTGGGCACACAGGAGGTGGGGTACAAGCCTAAATGGAGCTTCTGATCCAACCTAGGGTAGCTGCTTTTATGAATTGAGTAAAGTAAATTTATTTAAATTTTTTAAGAGTTGATGGCTACTGGTGAGGCAAAAATACTCAGGAATATGGTGGGGTTTATTCCCAGTGCTTTGCTTTCACATTTGTAAAGAAATTTGAAACCAGGTCTGTTTTATGTTTCCTTTTTTTTTTTGCTGATGTGGAAGCAGATCTTTTTCATATATCTGCTTTTATTCAATGCTAAGTTTATATGGATCAAATCTTAAGTAACTTAGCAGCAGATTAATATTTCACTGGCTGTGTCTGCAGAGCCTGTTGTGCATCACTCAGCCCCTGTGCTCCTGGAAGGCTGAGCCCATGCCCAGTACTGTGAGCTGAGCTCATTCAGCTTTGCCAGGCTTGGGCTCAGGCTCTGCCACGGGGCCACTGGACAAAAGCTGCTTGCSTGTGCCTGCTATGTATGGTGTAGATTCACCTGCAGACAGCCAGGAAAGGCCTCTGTCTGTAAATAAACATTACAAACAAATCTGGACTTTGTTTGCTAAATTTTTGTGCAGCAGAAAATACTCAGTTTATTTATTACCTTTTTCACCATAATATTTACTACCACTGGTTAATAAAATATTGCCTGTTAAATCTTTTGTAAAAAGAGTGAAATTTTTTCTTTCCAGGGAAAATAATTTCCTATTTTTAGCTTTATGGTATTTAATGTGTTTTCCTGCCTAGATGCTGCAATTTCTTTTAAGTAGTCAGGCTGTAAATAGTTCTGTTTCCATGCAATGTTGAGCACASTGGAATTTCAGAGTTTGAGATTGCGTCTAGAAGGATCTAGGCTTCTTTCTCTCCTCTCCATCCCACCTYTCAACATGATATTCTGATCTTTATTAAACCTTTGCCTGGGATTATGTGGACTGCAAGAAGCAATTTGACTGAATGTTTTTAAGGTGTGTTACAGCTGCCAAAGTCTGGAAACAGRAATAATGCTCTAGACCAATGAAAGATAGCAGCATTTTGAAGTATTTTGTCCTTTTTCAAGTTATAGACTGGCCAGTGACAATAAAATAAGAGTTATTCACACTTTTATTTGGTGTGAATATTGGATGAATATATTCATATTAATGCAGAACAGATTCAAGAGCGTGCAGAATATTTGATATGAACAATTCTGTGATTCTGTGAATTTGTTCAGTGGCAAAGGACTTTGAATATAGTACTAGGGGTGCTGCAGTGTTCACACGTTACAGTAGGAGCTACTTCTTTTCTTCCTTTGCTTCAAAAAGAAAATGCAGTCTCTCCAGAGGTGTGTATCTTCACCGTACAAAGAAGCCAGAAAGCAGAAGATAATTTTTCTCTGAAAAAGTCTTTTTACCACTTTAGCTGCYTTTTTGTGGTTAGTTAAAAGATGTTTGGGTGTCACTGGACTTGCACACACACTCATCCCACTTCAATTTCTCCGGTACTCCGCTCTGTCAACAGTCACATTTCTGCAGGATGAAGATAAAGTGTGAAAAAAAAAAAAAAATTGGGCCTTCTCTTTCCTTTTTTTCCTGCTTTCTTTCATGTTTATACAAAGGCTGAATGAATGTTCAGTGTTCTTTCATACCAGATTCCCATTTATTAGTTGTTTTCAAATAGGACCCACAGGCCCACACTGTCTGCACTGACATCATTGGCAAAGGGTACGAGAAGAGATGATGCTGTCTGGGGAACTGAGGCAAACAACAGCTAAGTAGCTTCCCTAACATCAGGGAGAATTATGTCACAAAGCTGAAATTTGAGATAATAAGAAACTCTTTAACTTTTTTTTTCTGAGTTTTTCTAAAGTGCTTGCAGTGCACACTGTCTTCTTGGTGTACATTTGATTTTTTTACACTCATGTATTTTTTAATGAACCCTGTCCTCTGAAACCTTCCTCAYGTCATAGGCAGTTAGATACTGAAGCACACCTAAAGTCACAAGCATAAAGTGAAAAATATGGAGGTGAGAGGACAGAGGCTGTTTTAGTTAAATCATTCAATTGGTCACTGAGGAACTGCTAGTGTCTAGTTTATGTTCATGCTACACCTACACTATAGGGGCACCTATAGTCATGGGAAGGCASTATAGTAGTCTGCTTTCATCTGATGAAGTGAAATAAACTGTACTGGGAAACATCATTTTACAAGTGTTCCTACTTTTATGTTGCTGGACTGTCTCTTCCTTCTGTRGTAGGCAAAGGCTATTTGATGCACAGAAATGACAGTAGTTGTTCTGGCATGGTAATAAATTTGCTGTGTGCTGACCTGATGTCAAAAGTCCCAAAACTAAGCAAGAGTGAAGCTGAGTATAAACAAAACTTTTATCACATACTACTACCTAAAATTGCAAGAGAGTTTAAGAGTATGGGGCTCSCATTGACATAGGTTTCCTCTGTTTCGCCCAGGTCAGATTTGTGTCTGCAGCTATTTTCTCTAACCAGTTGTTTTTCTCTTAGCTGGGCTGTCCCCACTTTGCTGTGGTTGCCAGGGGCAGTGGCATCTGCTGCCAGCAGAAGGTTGGGGCTTGGCTGCAATTGTTCATGTTCTTCCTCACCTGATGTGAGCTCYAGCTGTCTGAAACCCACCTGCTCTGCTGGGAAAAAGTGCTGGAAACCCTCCAGGAAAAAAACACAGCTGTCTGATGTCCTGCCTAGATYGAATGTGCAAGACTCAAATTTGTCACTTGGTCAGTTTATCAGTGGGACAGGCTTGATTAGAGCTGTCTTTGCTGTTTGTTGGAGGTAAACAACAAGGCCAAAAAAAAGGAGTGATAGATGACKATGGGAAAAGCTGCTGAGAAAATACTGTCAGTCTGGAAGGAATGTCTGTTTATTCTTAGAAGTCTGTGCAGAGTATCTTGTAATGTTTTTATGCTTGAACGTACATCTGAGTATACAGTTGTATGATCATCTGCATGACTTTTCTTTTTTTTTCCTTTCTCACAGTGCATGCCAATTAAAGGCCTTGGATTTGTGCTTGGAGCCTACAAATGTATTTGCAAGGCTGGATTCTATCATCCCAACATCTTCTCAGTGAACAGCTTTCAGAGTAAGTGCCTTTGCCTGAGTTTAAAAAAAAAAAAGAAACAGAGCCTAGCATTAATAATGCAGGGCTGCCTTTTTATCCTCGCCAGGGTTATACAGTAAAATCCCAGTGGTTTGCAACTCTTGGATTATATAATCACTTAAGGAGTTCTAGCCCTTTGGTTTGTCATTCATGATACTCTTGAGGATCCTGTAAAACATACCCACTTGAAGAATATTTGATTTGTAAATAAATTTAAAAAACATGAAAAGAAGCCTTACGAAGGGGAAATAGAGATTTCTGGCATCTGTGCTCATGCACAAGTATTCTGGAAATTAATCTTCTCATTTTCTGTTTAGCCAGAGGAAATGAGAATGCCCCAGCTTCTCGCTTTGTGTGGGCTTTAATTATTTTCTTTATACTTCATTTGCAAAGGAGAGTTGAAGGGAGCATCCAAATTCTAATACATGCTGATGAGGTAACAGAGATGGTTCAAGCCTGGAAGGCTGTTGAGCTGCATGTACGGATAACATACGTCCTACACATGCYCAGGACACACATCGTATGTGCCCAGACTGAGCTGCCCATGGCAGGAGAAACAGACCGTGGTTGATGCTCAGCAGGGAGAACAGAAAAACTGCACACCCAGAACTGATGTCTGTTACTGTCACTGTAAAACGAAACCTGTACTGATTTTGTGCTGAAATTGTTGCAGTTGTGCTGGTAGAGCTCRTGCTGCAGCCACAGGTGCAGAGCTGATGCTTGGGTGTGTAACAGGGCACCTTCCCTGCCTCCTGCTTTCAGGCTCATTTCATGCCCAGCTTCTCTGCACCATCCTTTAGCCAGAGGTTCATGTCATCAGCTCTCACTGTGAGTTCAGTTTGTGTGAGATATCCAGGGAGTGGCAGTGAGTAACTTGCACCAAGCTTGGTCCAGGACCAGGTATATTGTCTCCTCCCTTGAGTGAAAATAGCTTTTTCTATTCCCCTATAGGAATACCTCTGGTATTATTCAACACTTGATGTGCATATATATATATATATATATATATATATATATATGTATATATAATATCATGTCTCCTGTATAGATTTGTAGAATAAGTAGCAGTTTGTTCAACAGTTTGTCTGCTGCGTATTTCCCTTGTGTTTTCATATTGTGAGGTGTTGCAGAAGGCGGCCTTGTGACAGTGCTGTTTCTCTGGGCTGTGTGAATCTGTTGATAGAGTAAGGATGATGTTTGGTTCCTCCTGAAGTACAGTGAGCCCTGGTGGAGTTAGGATTTAACTGCTTGAGAGACCATATGAAGAAAAACTTAGATTTTTGTCATATCAAGTGCCATAGAACAAACACAAAAAAAAGTGGCCAGAGATCATAACAACATTGATCATTAGAGATGAGATGAATTTTATTTGATAGCAGTTGTTCAAAATGCATATGCTTGCTATGTATTAGTCACCTAGGTTTCAACTGCAGCCAGCATCAAGAACCTGGCTCCCCTGGAGGGTGATTGGTCTTTAGATGGAAAAAATAATACCTCCATTTTTTCTCCATTTGCTACAAAATAAAGAGCCTATATAGTTTCTTTAGAGTGACTATTTAACTCTTAGTAAAGTGAGATTTGTCTCAAGAAAGTTTGTAGTTGCTGTTATTGTAGGATGTGGGGGCCAGTTTGATTTGAGCCTTTGTTGCTGTGAGGTAACCAAAGTTTGGAAACAGTAATGAAGAACTGCTTTAATTCATCCAAATGCAGCTCCCTCTGCCAAGTATAGATGATTTTAAAAAGYGATGGTGAGACTGGAAACAACTAAAGTAATGTAAAAGTCTGTGGTTCAAAGGAAGCTTGGCCCTGTCACACAGCTGCATTTGGTAAAAAGAAGAGAAAAAATGACATAGCTAAAATACTGTAGTATGCTTTTGGTGGTTCGAAATGGTGTTAACACAGGAATTCTAGACACGAATTCTGCCAGCAGTTTTGACAGAAGCTGTCTGACCTGGAGATCTCTTTGTGGAGATAGCTTGGTGAAATCTGATGATAAAAGAGATGAAACTGAATAGGAATGTTAATCATTTAAGAAGTATTCCTAGTGGGAGAAAATGAAGAGGAATCAAAGATTTGCAGGTCTCAAGACATAAGAAAGAAGATAGATAGAAAAATGACCAGTTTTCACTCAATTGAAAAACTGGATTGTGTTGTATCTTGAAAATGATTCTGGGATTCTGCACCACAACAAAATATGGTTAACTACAGTTGCACATTGTGTCTGAAGTGTCATTTAAAACTTGTGTCAAGTTTTTGGGAAAAGGTTCTGCTTTAGGCCCAGATTAAATGGTTTGGTTTGAGTCTGAAAGATAGCTGTCTTATATGTCTTTGCAGAGACATTGGACATGCTACATAGTTTACTGTGGCCCTTGGGGAACCTGCAACGTGACATAAACAGTGTCCTGTGTGGGAAAGATTCTGCAAATCAGTTGCTTTTGTGCCTTAAAGCATCATGATATTGCTGCTCCCAGGGAGGCTGCACATGTTGCAGGCTCCCAAACAGTGAGTGGGACAGGGGCACAGCTGGAATTCAGGCTTTTCTTTTACTGAAAAAGAAGCCAGGTAGGAAGGTATTTCCCTCCCAAGTCTCGGTTTGTTTTTCAGAACYGATGGTGCCAAAATATGTAAAACCTTTCTTTTTTTTTYTGCATGTGTTAATTATTACCTTGGGTACTAGAAGGGCACAGAGTTATTACCATATTTCCAGAGTCTTTTTTGAGTTGGAAATTGATTTTAGAAAAAAACACCTTTAATGTACCCAGGTTGTGTTAACCTGTAAGTGCTTTAGTACATGATTATGCACTTTTTCCTAATGGCTCATTTTTAGGTAGCACTATTAATATAGGTAGAATAAACTAACTTACATTTTAACATTCCTCTAACACCCTTCTCTGAAGCTCTTCTGTTCTCTGCCTCACGGGGTAATCAGGTTTGCATTGGAAAATCCTTAGCACAACAATGGTGCTCTGTTCAACCTTGAAGTTTGCTCTTTAGCAATGCATCCTCCATCCATTGCAGAAATTCTCAGCTTTTGCTGTTTTGCTGTTACTTGCACCAGCAGTGGCTCTTTTGTAAGAATAAGGGACTGTGCTGTCTCTAACACTGCTATGATCGCATAAAAATTTCCAAGAGTAGTTTCCATTTCAACAAGAATTCCCATTTTTTACACCCGACCTTTTGCTTTGGTTCTTCAACAGAACCTTGCATGTGCATATCTTAGTTCATATGAAGGTTGTCACTGATTTCAGTGATCCCTTTGTGGGGTGAGGCTTATGACCATGGCTGATGACCAGATTTTGGTGCCAAGAGGTTCAGCTGCATTCTCACCAGGTTACTGCACATCACTGATGCAACTGGAGTGTTCCTCATTTACTCTGTTATAGAGCAGGAGCAGAATCTGTCTTTTGGTCTGCGCAGTGCTCAGCATGCACTGTGCTCTCTGTGTTCATGTGCTGAGTTCTGACTGCAGTAAGGGGTGATTTGATTTGGGATAGAGCAATCCCTGCCCTGGGTCTCAGCAGTCTGTGGTGCCATTCTTRCTTTGCAGGAAGATCTCAGCTGGTAATGTCACAGCTGCTGAGGCATCCCTTGCGTGGCAAAGTGTCCTTAGGAGAACCAAAGCTGATGAACAGTTACCCTCAGGAGAACATTTCAAAAACAGATGGGCCAATCAGACAGAAAAATAAGACTGGGATGGAAGAGAGAAGAGCTAGGAAAAAAACATGGTAGAGTGGGAATAGCTGAAACATTTAAGCTTTTTGGTTTTTTTTATTGTACTTCATGTTGGTTTGTGTCCCTATTCCTACTTTCCACCTATCTGCCTTGATTCTTTTCTCCTTTCTTTCTATCCATTTTATTTTTTGGTTGTTTTTCTGTTCTTCTTTCCTTTAGAGCGGCATTTTTTTACACCTTCCTCATTTTCAGTTTTAACTCCTGGAGCACAGTGTTTGCCTCCATCTCATTTGTGTCAGTGCTAAAATCGCTGCTGCATTACACAGAGCAGAAGTGACTTCGTGTCCATCTATCTTATTAGTGTCTAGAATCTTTTGTCATCTTTTGAGGAGGAAAAGCTGTTTTTATTCCCTGCAGGAGATTTGTAATCTCAAAGAGCTGCTGAGATAGGAGAAGGCACAATGAAACATAGCAGTGCTGTGAGAGGCAGTAACTCCAGGCTTGGCTTGGACTGTTTGTGTTTTGAATTGATGTTACATTGTCTTTGGTGAGGGGACAGGACCAGACAAAAAGGGCAGAAGTGTTCAACTATGTGCCCTGAGACATATAGTCAGGGCAAGGTTGTGGGTGGATAAGATCCCAATCAGTGCTTTATGCAATGAACAGTTCTTTTCCAAGAATTTATTTTAGAGGGTCTGAAAAATGTTCTTTCTTTTTGCCAAGGAGGGAAAAGAAAAGAAAAAAAAAGTGGGGAAAAAACRGGAACTGTTAACTGTGCCCTATCACATTGTGGAAAATCTCACATAGATGCTATTTTTTCAATCTTTCCTTTATTTGCTATAAGGGAGARTCACACAGAATCACAGAATCCAGTAGGTTGGAAAAGACTGCTAAGATTACCAAATCGATTACCAAATCCAACCTGTGAGCAATCCCCACCTTGTTAACCAGACCGGATCACTGAATGCCACATACAGTTGTTCCTCGGACCCCTGCACCTCCATTTGGTAGTCAAAAGATGTTCACAGAAAAATCAGCCTTGGCTGGCAGACCAGACAGTGCAGAAGGTGTCTGTCAGTGATCTTCCCTTGTATACAAGAGCCAGTATCAGAGAATCCATGGATTGGAAAAGACCTTTGAGGTCACTGAGTCCACCCTGTGACCAAACACCACCATGGACCTGACCATGGCAACAAGTGCCACGTCCAGTCTGTCCTTAAACACACCTCCAGGGACAGTGGGTGACTGCACCACCTCCCTGGGCAGCCCATCCCAGTCTCCAAACATGACAGCAGACACATCTAAACAAAAGCTTGCTATTGTGTTATGAAGTCATACCCATGGGATATTTACTCAAACATGCAACTGTTATCCCTACAGTATGTGATGAGCATCCACATGAAAAAAGTCCCACATATGATTCATGTAAGAAACTGCTTGACAAAACTGATTTTAATGTATTTGCAATGACATTCAAGGTTAGACATTTCTGAAATAAATTAAGTGCACCAAGTTTAGGAACATGCAGAATTATCAAGCCATATTCATATAATATTTGTGACAAGTAGTCTCATAACTGTAGGTTTTAAATTATATTTTTTTCAGTGTTTAAGTTTTTATACTGCAATTTTGTGACAATGCAAATAATTTATTTGACACAATAAAAGTATATTAAAAATGGCTCATGTGGCTCAGAAATGTGAGGTTTTAAAGAGTTGAGCTAATTGAAGGGCAACTATGGAAATAGTAAAGGAACAGATATATGGTGGAAAAGCAGGCTGACATGGTTGTGAATGTTGAGGCAATGAGGCGGAAAGCTTTGGATAAGGAGATGGGAAGTGGGAAGACTGACTTCTGTCTCTGACAGAGGACCGTGTGGGTCTGTTGCTCTAGCTGTAATTAAGAAAGCAGGGATCTAATTTTGGATTTGGAGAAGGTGGTTTCTGTTAAAGCTCTTGGAATGATAATGGGCTGAGGTCCATGGGTGCTCTGAAAAGAAGTTCCAGTCCTCGGGTATCTTCAAATTCAGTGTTCCTTAGAGGTTCTCCATCTGCTTGCTATGCCCAAGCATAGTTACTTTCCAAGATTTCCATGTCTGCCTCACAGTCTGGGTCAAAAAAGCATGAGATCCCTTCTTGCTGACTCCTTGTATCTAAAAATCTGACTTCCAGCATGAGTCAGCACTACTCTGTTATATTCAGGTTTCCAGCATATTAGTTTAGAATAAAGCTCCAAAGAGAAATTCACAATCATAATGAGAAATACCATCCTGTTCTCTTCTCACTATGGRATGTGGGAGTGAAGTATCCTACACTGAGGACAAGGAACATGGGGCTGCTTGAACAAGCAGCCAGATAAACAGACCTGGGTATGTGGCCTCTGTCCCTTTCCCAGGCTTTGCCTGGTAGCAGATGACTGCTCCTGCAAATCCAAAGATTTGAGAARGCAAGAAGTAATTACCCTTGTAGATAACCTTCTGCTTCAGTTGTTTCAAGCTAGAAGTCTGGAGAGAGTTGCATAAGCCTGTGTGCATGTGCAGTGCAGGTGGAATAGGCTGTGCCTTGGACTCAGCAATGCATGATTCACTACTTTCACTSACAGGGAGAGTTTTGATCAAACAAATTGAAGCAATTTTCTAGAACTGTGAAATATGGGAGGAGTTATCACACATTTTAACCCACCGTTGATTTGCCTTCAGCCACATTCTCTTGTTATTGTGAGCTCCTAAGGCGGACTTGCCTGTCATATACATTTCAACAAAACAATTTTTTCCTTTCATTTAACAATTTTTTTTTGCCCCTTTTCTCTTTCACTATTCATTACCTGTAGGGTATGCAGCCTTACAGGGGGTTATGGGCAAGTGTCATGGATCAGAAAAATTAGGAATTCTTCTGTGCATGTTGTTGATGGATTCACTTTGATGGATGAGATGTCAGCTCAAGAGTCATTGATTTTCCTTGACAAAATATTAACTTTCCAATAGGTTTTCCTCTTGGTGTGCTTGTGTGAATAATTGAAAATTATACTTAGTCTTGAGTGCACTGGTTTTGCTTTGGGGTCAGAGTAGTGCAATCCTGCGACAGCATGTTGAACAAATGTTAATTAAGAAGGGGTTTATCTTATTTGAAGCTCATTAATTCACTAGATAGCATTTTTATAAAGTTGAGGAACAAWCTGAAATGGGATCAGACCTTGTACTACAAACATTAGGTAGTTAATGTGTCTGCCCTTCATGTGTCTGTGTAAAATCCTTTCCTTATTCCCAAATATTTCATGTGATTTTTCCCCCATTCAAAATTCTTCTTCATAGAATCTCCTGTGCAGATTTCTCCCACTTTAAATACAACAGGAAAGCATTTGATGAGCTCAATGAAATAAAAGCTCAATTGATAAGCTCACTTTCTCTCAAGTCTAGATTGGTCTGCGTTTTCTGAATGTTACAAAGGATATTTCAGTGAGAAAGCAGAACTGGCCAAGCTATTTTGTAACCTAATGACAGAGAACGGAGGTAAAGGAAGCCCAACAGAGGACCAGTGATGAACTCCCCATCCTGTACAACTAAAGGTGTCTCCCCTTGCTCTTCTGATAYTTTCAGAAAAGGACGCAGAAAATCGCTTTTCTGGTGGTGAATTGTCGGAGGAAATCTACACCTGCCTACCCTGCAGAGAAGGATGTTCTTTCTGCACAGATGACACTCCCTGCTATGCACAGGAGGACAAATACTTACGGCTGGCGATCATCTCCTTCCAAACGCTCTGTATGCTGCTGGATTTCATAAGCATGCTGGTGGTCTACCATTTCCGCAAGGCAAAGGTAAACCGCTGTTCTCCTTCGATGTTCCTGCTCGCTGGGTGGTGCACACTCATTTATCTCGGGTGTATAGCTCCCTGTTTAGAGTCAGTTTCTCAGGCAGGGAGCTCAGCTCAAGGRGAGGATGGGATTTCCAAATGGGAATGTTTTCCTAAACTGTTTATATAGTTTTGGAAAAAAACAAAAAAAAGGAAAGAAGCTGAGCAATTTGTGTCTTCCAGTGAAATATGCTTACATTTGTAGATGTTCAGCAAAAATCAAGGAAACTATTATGTTCAAAGTAATTTTGGAAAATCAGGCCAATTATGCACGTATCTAAGGGGACATGGGGATTTCAGAAATTTGGGATCTTGAAAGCCTGTTTTACCACTACTGGGAWTGATGTTTGGTTTCAATATATTTGAGAGACTAGATGGGAAATAATTACAGCAAAGAGAAATCTTTCTGAATAATTCTAGTTCCTAGAGAGTTTAAATGTGATTCTATGGTTAAAGATTATTATCTTTTTCACTAAAGCATGAGTATATTAAGGAGTGTCTGGAAATYGCTGGTGCAGCATTTGTGTACTAAGCTAATGAACATTCTCCTTTTACCTCACTGAAAATCTGGTAACGTCTCATGGAATGTCACTGCTGCCTCAGTAAATGCAGAATATCCTCTGAAACTTCAAATTTACTAAAAAGAAATTAATTGAAGCTGTCATACATTCACAGCCTACATTTGGGAGACGTAGGTGTGCACACAGTATGCTATATTATTGAAATTAATAGCTTTATCCACTTTCTATAACTAGATAAGTATTTCCATTTTGGTTTTTGGAACACTTGATCTCACAGTCTTCCTGGTCCTGCAGTGTCTGTGTTACAAATGTGTGGCTCATTTTGAAAGACTTTAATATCCTGGCAGGAAATCACAGAACAAGCAGTAACATTCCTTTTTTCCCCCCTCTTCTTTTTCTGACAGTGTCTTTGTATTTAATGACATTGCATTAAATGATTCAAATTGCAGACTTAATTGTATTCACAAAGTTTTTTGTTATAAAAAGTTTGTTGYAGGCATCTGTTTAGTTGCTTGACATTAACTTAGCAGAAGAACTTCATTCCATTTTTGTGAGGTTTTAATCTGGTAAAATTACTCACTTTTAATGTCATAGACAGCATCATGAAAGAAGCATTACTTCTGAGTGAAAACTGTTTCTAAACCTTCAAAGTGATGTGCAGGTATTGCAGGTTGGGCTTGACTTCTTTTTTACACACTGAAATACTGTTTTATAAGATTTTTTTATGTTTTCTCACAAATAGCTTGAGATCAGACATGYGTAAAACTGTGTGCACTCTTGCACTTGTACACTTGCATGTGTTCTGATACACGTGTCTGCCACAGTAAAAAGAAAGGTATATCTTAGACATGATCCAGAAATCTTGGGTTTCCCAAAACCTGCTAGTAATGAAAAGCACATTTTCATTTTTGTGATGATTRATCATTTCTCCAAAGTAGTCTATGAGTAAAGAAAAACATGGGATCTGAATCTTTACTACCAAAGCAATACTAAAGAGGCATATACACATCTTTCATTGATTCTGTCATTAAGAAAAAGTCTGAGCTTATTTTTTTCCAGATTCCCTCTTCCTATTAGAAATCATGACATCTGAGTGAGTGAGAACCAGGCATAAAACACAGCAYTCTTTTTCTCAGAAAGAGAACTGATGCCTTTGAGACATTGCAGTTCATTCAGTTGGCCAGAGATGGATTCAATTACAATTTTGGTACCTTACAATAAAGTTGACTTTTCTCTAAACRTGTATCTCACAAGGAAGAGGGAAGGAAACATAAGACCAAAAAAAATTACGTGGTCATTAACAAACCTTTCCATTATGATTGATGTTTTCAAGGAATAAAAACTGATAGATTTTTCATTGCTTTTCATGTCCTTCAGTTGAGTTTTTCTTGGATATTCCTTTAGTGTTCTTTATCTTGCTGGTACACCATGGTAAAGATCGTGTGTGTTTACCATGAAATGAGAAGTTGTATGAAGGGCAAACTTACTGAGAACAATGAGTATTTGCATAAGAAAACTGCTGGTTAGACTGGATAATGACAGAAATTTGGAGTGAAGGAAGAAAACTAGTAGGTTACCATGTACTCTCTGCCAAGGAGGTAAAATCATAAAAAATGAAAGAACACATATTGAAGTATATTCAAAACATCTGCCTTTTTGAGATTTTCTGACTGTTAGTAAAGCAAACCACAATTAGATTGGTATATGTGTCGGTGATTAAAATTGCTGTGTTAAACTGCTCATTTCCATTGTGCTGTGTGGGTGTCAGAGAAGAGAATTTCTTTGGATCCTCTCCCACGGATAGCACTACAACATTCAAATGGTTGCAAAAAATAGTTTTTAATGCAACGCTTTCACAGAAAGAATGGTGTATTGCTGCTATATCAAGAAGCAAACTTCAGAGTGTTTAAGGGAGCAAGAGATGGGGGTTGAGGATAAAAGATGTTAAATTAAGGCCTTTTCAGTGCGGGAAGAAGAGTAGTTATGTGGCATTTTGATCCGGCTGTTGATCAGTAAAATCTGAAGGCAAGTGGGATCAGGTTACCTCTTTACTAAAAGTGGCTTCAGAAGACTTCTCAGTGCTTGTATTTCAGGGGGGGCTGCCGGTAAAGCCTACCTTCAAAAAGCTAACGTCCTGAAAAGTTACAGTCTGCCAGCAGAAAGCACTTGGGATGAAACACTCCAGGCTCTTTGGCAGTGATATTGTGAGTATAATAATTCACAAAAAGGATAAAGGCCCATAGGCATCCTTTAGATTATGACAGCAGTGATGACTTTTGTCCTAAAAAAATCAACATACCAGTAAGAACAGATGCAGATCATAAGTGTTTTAGGGAAGTGAAGAAATACCTCAGTTATTCAGAGGTATAGGACCAAGCAGTAGTTATGATGGAAAATTGCCATCAGCCTAGTTTTGTCAAAAGTGCAGAATATGTGTGAGATCCAAGGCAGTTACTGAAAGACCAGCCACAGGCAAAAGATGGACTGCTGCAGTACCACAGAGAGTGGCAATGAGAACAGGGACCTTTGAGACATTTACTGCCCAAGCATTCCTGTCAAAATGTGATGAAAGAGCTTTCATTTTATCATGATCTTTATTACTGACCTGGGCTGTCATAATAAGACCCTACAAGAACCTGGTAAATAYCAGCTCGTGAGTTCCCACAAGTGAAAGGTCTTGACAAAATGCATGTAATAAATAGGCAAAGGTCCTAGCAAGCCAGATGACTGGCTTTTACAAACCAGGCTTCTCTTTAGAGGAACTTTTACAAGTCTTTGAAGTTCTGCATCTGTTCTTCTAGAACTTCTTAAGGTTCCTCTAAAGAATCCTCTTGAGACTTTTGTCTAGAAAATTGCTGATCTATTAACTGTAGAATAAGTTTACATTAATAGCATTAGAAGCAATGGAAGATAGGAAATGTGACATCTGTGTTTATAAAGACTCCCCTAATAGTGACAGGAGCTAAAGATGAGTAGATCCAACTCACATACTTGCAAATTCAGAGTAATGGCAGTAAATAATAGTACTATTGGGTCCATGGGCAAGTGTGGGAAGTGGGCTTTTGTGAGAATGTGATACCCTACAAATGTGTTTGTAGCTCTGTGAAGGAAGACTATGAGCATGTGGCTGTGAGAGTACTTCTTCCAAGGTCTTCCACCAAAAGCTCTTAAAAATTATGATCTTAAGGGGTTAGGTGAGCTGCACTCTTTGTAGATAACCAAGGGATGACAGAGGAAAAGACAGGGCAGGAAATATGGTACAAAATCATGTACAGCAGGGAGATGTTGATGTATGAACACATACATATTCATGGTTCCTCTTATGGTATCGCCAGAGGGATTAAGGATCAAGGTATCTCTCAAATGTTTTTAAAAAATGAAGTAGCTGCATTGCACAATTTTTAGTTGCTTTATGTCACTCATTGGCAAAGAGTATCATGATCCCAAAGTATAAAGCAATTCAAATAGGAAGGAATCATGCAGGATATTTCTATATAATTTTATATATATTTCTATATTTCTAGGGTGTTTAAAGACAGTGGTTTTGGTGAAACATGTGGTGCTTAAAGGCCATGATTTTATTGTTGGAAACTTGTGAGGATAGGTAGGGAAGGATCACTCTGCTTTTTTTAATAATGCAGCACAGGCCATGAAGTGAGGCAGGACTCTGGAGTCTCAATCAGAAAATCTTTTGTTCTCTTGGCAAAGAGTCATTAAGTTAGATTTCATGTCTCTTCTTGAAAACCTTGTAGTTACTCATGTAGACTTGCACATTTGATAGGTGACAAAACAAAATTCAACTTGTTCATCCAATATACAGTTGGTCCAAACTGCTGGTGCCACTGACCAATCTGACTATTGCCAACTCATAAATGTAATGGCAAAATTGTGACTTCAAACAGCAGTTGAAATTGGCCAAAAGAGCAAAATGGAATGGCAAAAAGATATTGTGGCAAAAAGATACTGTGACAAAGTTCAGATCGATGCTGAGGAATTCATTTGAGGCTTTGTCAAACGCAGGTGAAAGTGACTCAGCAGCCCTGAGATCAGCTCAGYAGCAATGTTATTAAACTGCAGGAGTCATAACTGGAGGAAGTCACAGGCAGAAGATGTGGCGCTTTGCCAAAGAAGAAAGAACTCCAAACTGATAAGAATAAAAGAAATTTGGAAGAAGGCACAGAACGAGTAGCAGAAGCTAAACCACTAGGTTTCCTGCTTTGTAGGGAAAGACAGAAAAAGATGAAAAATAGAACAGATAAAGTAGAGATGTTACTGCTATAATGGGAAAAGATGAAGCATTTCAGCAGGAGAGCAAATGGGGGAAATGTGCCAGACAAAGAGAAAAGAGGAAGAATTATTCAAAGCTAATACAGAAGGGAAATCAGATGTGTGGATCACTTCAAAGAGGTCTTTACTCTGGACAGCCCTCATGCGGATCAGTAGT